GTGTGTGTGTGTGTGTGTGTGTGTGTGTGTGTGTCTGTGTGTGTGTGTGTGTGTCTGTGTGTGTGGTGTGTGTGTGTGTGTGTGTGTGTGTGTGTGTGTGTGTCTGTGTGTGTGTGTGTGTGTCTGTGTGTGTGTGGGTGTGTATATAAATATATATATAATTGGTTTATTGAAAGAGCTTGGCAGCCAGAAGGCTGAAAATATACAGTTACATATTATTTGGGGAATGGGTTACGAATTACAAATAATATACAAGTGACATAAGTGACACAAATAAGACATAGTAACTTAGATGGGGATCAGCTCAAAATACAGTTCATTTCAAAATAGTGACAGTGTAGGGAGCAGTGTTTACTGGGAGTGAATACACTGATTTATTACATGTTATTGATAATTTTTACAATGGTTGGGACTGGGCTGTTCTTATAGCGATCAGTTCGTGCACGTATGGGCTGGATGCGGTTGTGGTGTCGAACAGCAATTCTCGGACAGGGGATCTCAGGTGGTAGTAGGGGCCGGTGTCGGGGATGGTGTAGAAGCTTCTTACCAAATTTGCAGATGAGGCCGTGGTGATGGTCAGTGAGTCAGAAAGGGTCAGTGTGTTGAGCTTCTTGATATGTGGAGTGCGGAAGGGAGAGAATAATCTTGCATGCCCTTTTTTGCACTTTTTCTAGGTGTTTACGTGTGGCATTTAGGGAGGAAGACCAGGTGGGGGAGGCATAGGTGGGCTTGGGAAGTATGAATGTTGTGTAAACACTGAGGAGCTCGGGTGCAGGAACTCCGAGGGACTTGAGTCGGCGGAGGAGGTGGAGACGGAAACTGGAGGATTTGACAACTTCACTGACGTGTGGTTTCCAATTTAGTTTGTTGTCTATGGTGACGCCGAGGAGCTTCGTGGAATCTACAACCTGGAGTGTGTTCGGACCTAGGGTAATGGAAGGAGGTGGGACAATGTCGGAGGAGAGGTTGATGTGCATAACCATTGTCTTGGTATGGTTGATGGTGACATGGTTGTTGGTGGCCCAGGTTTGGAGACTGTTCAATAAATCCTGAAGGGCGGTATAGTTGGGAGCGGAATTGTTGACGCTGATCCCAATGGTGGAGTCGTCGACATATTTCCAGCGAGCAGGGGCTTCTCTTAGGGCATCATTGATGAGCATAAGGAAGCAGAGTGGTCCCATCTTGGTGCCTTGGGGACGCCACAGGTGAGTGACTGAAAGGTGGAGACAGCCCCTCGGAAGCGTACAGCTTGGCGTCGGTCACTGAGGAAGTCTGTAAGCCATGGTATGAGACTTCTCCGAAGCCCGAGGTCAATAGCTTTGTTTATGATTATATTGTGGTCGACTAGGTCAAACGCTTTAGTGAAATCAATGAAGGCGACAGCTACAGACGTTTTTCGTTTCTCGAGATGGCGGTATATGTAATCGAGAAAGCTGACAAGACAGTGAGTGGTGGAGGAAGTTTTCATGTTGCCAAATTGCTGAGGGTCTACGACTCCTGCAATATCAGCATAAGCCCAGTCAAACACAAAACTTTCACAGATTAGGCTGGGTATTGGGGTGATTGCAATAGGTCGTAGCTGATTTAGGGATTGTGGGCTGGTTGACTTGGGCACTGGTGATACATAAGAGGTCTTCCAGTCAGCTGGGCATCTGGCTTGACTGAGAGAAGCATTGATGATGGAGCAGAGGGGTTTAGCAAGCTCCGGGGAGAACTCCTTGAATAGTTTCATTGGTAAGTCAATGGGGGTGGTAGAGCGTTTTAATTTTAGTTTGTCCAGGCGTTTTGCTACGTCAAATTCCTCTACTAAGTCAGTGGGAAGGGGGCTGGTAGGTAAGCAGGGAGAGTGGTTGCCATCCAAGCCAAATGGGAGCGTGTGTGTGTGTGTGTCTGTGTGTGTGTGTGTGTGTGTGTAAGATGATAGACAGGTAAATTATGGAAGGAGAGTGTGTGTGTAAGTCAGGTGTTATGAGTGAGTTACCTGTTGTTAATGACCTGTCGTTGTGTCCTCCTTACCTTTTCCACCACACACACACACACACACACACACACACACACACACACCATTATTAACTACCAATCCCGTTAACTACCTTATATTAGCTGTAGTTAAGTGGCTGGCTGGTGTAATTGGCTAGTTTATGACCCACTGAGATAACTTTACTCTCTGTTTTAAATTTGTTTATGAAGGTTTTAGTTGATGTTTATTTTCTTAAGTTACATAATTATCTCTAGTCTCTCTCATTATCTCTCCTTTTTCTCTCACTTTCCTCATTTTCCTTCTCACTCTCAGTCTCCCCTCTTCCCCTATTTCACTCTCCCATCCCTTCTCCCTCTTCCCTCACTCTCCCTCTCTCTCATCAGGATACTCCACCTGTCACACCTGCCTCCTCTTATCCTGCCTCTCCTCACCTGCCCACACTACTCTCCTGCCTCACACACACACACACACACACACACACACACACACACACACACACACACACACACACACACATACACATACACACAATAGCTTATCAATAACAGCTTAAACATGTCACCTGTATAATGATTTACCTGTATAAATTAACTACCGTACCTGTATAAATTAACTACCGTACCTGTATAAATTAATTACCGTACCTGTATAAATTAATTACCGTACCTGTATAAATTAATTACCGTACCTGTATAAATTAATTACCGTACCTGTATAAATTAATTACCGTACCTGTATAAATTAATTACCGTACCTGTATAAATATATTTTTGTCGGCATTATGAATTAATTCCTGGTTTTGTATTTTTCAGTAGCAAGAAAAACATGTTACCCTCCACCCTCCCTCTATCCCCCCACCTCTCCCACACTCCCTCCCGCCCCTCCCACACTCCCTCCCGCCCCTCCCTTCCCTCCCGCCCCTCCCCTCCCCTCCGCCCTCCCTCCCTCCCGCCCTCCCACACTCCCTCCCGCCCCTCCCACACTCCCTCCATCATGCAGTGTTATAAACATGAAGGTACAGGATATATTTATGAATATATTTTCACGGTGACAGGACAGCGTGTAGGTGTTGAGTCATGTTATAGTCTGAGTAACGTGAGGAGTCATGTTTAGGTGAGGAGGAGGAGGAGGATGAGAAGGAGGAAGAGGAGGTAGTCTAGGACACAACAGAATTTAACGAGGAAGGAGATGAGTGTTGAGACGCCCACACATGTAGGTGGGTGGAGTGGGGGGGGGTGGAGGAGTGTGAGGTGGAGTGTGAGGTGGAGTGTGAGGTGGAGTGTGAGGTGGAGTGTGAGGTGGAGTGTGAGGTGGAGTGTGAGGTGGAGTGTGAGGTGGAGTGTGCGGTGAGGACAGTAGATAGCTCTATCATGATAACCTAACCTAACCTATCATGTTACTCGGGCAGGCTGACCCATGTACGGTGGCTAGCTCCTTAAACTGTTGTGGGTATTATGTGACACTAATGGCTTGATAATTGTCTGTCTGTCTACCTGTCTGGCTGTCTACCTGTCTGTCT